TCTTTTTGAAACTCGGCTGAGACTGTCGTCGTGTTCCATCCACTAATTATTAATTATTGTCGATAATTGCCGATAATCACTAAGCCAACCGATCTCTATATTCAAGGCGTCCCTTATCTACGTCCGATTGGGTCAAGTAAAATTTTAATCCTTTCCGCCCTCGACTTCTTCGACACGTCACTTTATATTTTATATCAAATTTTTATGCGAGCAAAACTTTGTCTGTCGCCCCCCCCCCCCTATTCTGCCATCCCTTTGCCTTTCCGAAAATTTTATTGCGACACCGAAAATGCATCGATCCACGTTTTGATCCGAGTCAGTCCCAAGATTTGGGACTCGAGCCACTTTGAATAGGATGCTTAAGATAAGTGGCGACTGACAAGAGAGTAAACATAAGTGATAACGGAGAGAAGAGAAGAAGCGCACAGAAGAAAAAAAATTTGACAAAATTTACAAATACTCGTTGACAAATCAGCCGAAAGTTATATATAAAAAAAAAAAGAACCTCGTCTTTCGAAGTAGGTAGAATTTCGAGTGAATAAGAAACGGAAGTGAGAAGAGGAGGAATAAAAAAAGGAAAAAAGAAAAAGATTGAACTCCCTCCGGGGTTCCCAGCGGGATTAAAGTATCCCCGTGTCAGAATCCCATCAAGATTCAGCTGTTCAGGGAGAAGTTGTCCAAGACTCAGCCTCCGGGAACCTCCAAGGAGGAGATCGCCCTGAGGACAGTCAAGGATCATCCGGGGGCTGACTCCGGGACCAGAGATCGTTTACCACCGCCAGTGATAATAAGACGCAAGCAGATTCACCTGAAGTCAAGAAGCACCCAGGATCCCGATAAGGAGGATGCTAAGGACTTGAGCAAGGATAATCAAAATCAATCACGAGGACAGACGTCCTCGCGACGAGCCTCCAGGAACTTCCTGGCGAGACGTATAGGCACGTCGAGCGGATACGGTGCCAGGAGTAGTGAGAGCACGTCCTCGGACTTCCTCGAGAGCGAGGTCTCCTCCGAGGAAAGGGACACTCTTCTGGAAGCCTTCCGGAAGTCGACGGAGTGCTCGGCGAAGGATCGTTTTTCCGGTGGCAAACTATTGAGTCTCGTTGAAAAGGCTTCGTCGTCCTTGACAAGAAGAACCTCCAGGGTCCTGGAGGACCATCGTCTAGACTCGGCGGACAGTCAGCAACCTCATCCACAAGAGTGCAAGACCTACCAGGAAGTCTCAGCCGGTGAACCTGGGTCATCCTCACTTGCCAGGAAGCCATCGTCGGCCCCCACAACCTTGTCCCTCAGCAGGAAGCTCACTTCCTGGAGAAGGGATAGCAAGGAACTCCTGGTGAAGTCCGTGTCGTCTGCCAACACGCTCGCCCCTACCGCGATGACCTGCATCAAGTGTCCACGAGTGATGTCGGAGCATCTCTTGGAGCAGCTGGAAGTACCCGTGACCCCAACCGTACTTGGTGCGCTTAGGGTCAAGAGCGGTTCACTTCGAGAGGGCGAACGACCCGATAGGCTGACTGAGGTACCGAGGCAACGTTGGAGCAGCGTACGTGTACGGGGCGGAAGTACCAAGAGTCTTCTTCTAGAGAACGGAGGTCCTCAGACGGCACCTCTGAAGGGTGCCATACGTAAAGAGGTATACTAAACACGTGAAGCTATAAAGAGATTGGACGTTTACAGTATAGAGAACTGTGCCATGCGAATAACCTTTGGGTTACGTTGAACCAAGCTAGGGACATTTCGTTCTTAACGCATAGTACTTTTTTTTGCATTTCTTGGCCGCTCCGGGGATAGAAAAAAAAAAACCTAGGGACTTTATCGGTGAAATTATTCAGTCACTTTCCCTAGTTTTCTACATGCGCGCGCATCCCTCCTTTCGTCTATCCTTAGACGCACAAAGTGCACTCTCTGACTGTACTGTTTTTTTTTTTTTTTTTTTTCGAAAACATCCTACCTCCTATCCGTTATTGATAAACGGCGCTGCATACGGTTTCAGGGAATTTTCAGAGTCGATTATTTTTCTTAGTTCTTCCAGGGAAATACCGTAGGATCTTATGGCTCTGCCATTACTGTTTATATCCAAGATATTTATGGAGTATGTTGATCGATACGCTATACGAATTTATTGGGGTGTCTTTGCGTCACGTCATTTTCAATTTGGGTTATTTACCTAGTTTCCAGAAAAAAAATATTTTTTACTATGTTTCACTTATATGACGTTTTCATAGGGGAAACTCAAAGCTTTGGGCTTCTGCATCTCGTCATTGGTTTCTATTCGCACGTGCGCACGTGGTCATCCTTATTTATGCAATTTGCGTGTGGCGGTGGCCTGAATACACATGTCGTATTAACGTAGTCGATTGTATTTAATGGCTTTGGGAAATCGTCAAACGTTTATTTGTTATTTTACAAAACACGAAAAACACTCGCGGCACATATATGGACTTTGCAGCGAACGAAAAGCGTCGCTCACGAAAGCTGGCGACAAGAAAATATTCCATGACCGAGGAGAAACATGTATTCAGGATTATTCAATATTAAAGTACGTCTGTCTCTCTCTTACGTACGCGAGCCCCCATAAGTCTCACTCTCTCGCACTCGCGGCAGGTATAGGAAATTGAAAAATTCGAGGGCTCGGTTAAATCTATCGGTATTAAAATTCTTAGGGGATGGTTGCCAGTGACCTGTTAAATCGAAGGGGTTGTAAGACAAAGTGGATTAACGATTGAAAGTCTAATGTTTCAATAATCAGATGTATCTCAGTAGGTAGTATACACGTGGTGTGTACATAAGTCATTAGAAACAGAAGGGAGTTTATTTTTTCTTTAGAATTTCATGATGTATCCGTATTTATATACTGTGTTCGAATATTTTCTGATTTACGCTTTCGTCGCGTTCTCTCTCTTTCTCTCGTCCCACGTTCCTCTCCGTGTCTCTTTTTCTTTTATTAAGCTCGTACTATTTTTGTACTTTAGTGCTCGGCTTTTATTGCCGGACCGCCGGATATCCGCGTGACGACTACCTTCAGGTTCGTCGAGCAACGTTGGTCGTTCGTCGTCCGCGTTCAGGGACCGATGTTTTTCGAAAAGGACTCGTTTCTTCGCGCTGCCGCGAAAAGCTCAGCAAGCGTAAACGCAACGGCAACACGTTTAGTACAGCCGCGCGCTTACACTGGAACAGCCAGGATAGTCTCGGGGACTTTCTTCCGTTCGAAAATAGAATCTGAGATGTGAGAATATCGGGATTGTTCTCGCGATGGTTGACGTAGTGCGAAATTTTCTTTTGGCTCGAAAATAATTTTTGGCTAGAAAATAATTTTTGGATTTTGTTTTACCACCCACGTGACAACTTTTGATACCGTCACGGTGCGCGCGCACGTGAAAGTGTTAGTGATATTTTTTTGGGAAATTTCAAACATTTTAAAAATTCCAAATAAATTAAAAAATGACAGTATATTTATCCGTCTAAAAATTGAATTATGGCAAACACGTGTATGACGATTTCAATGTGAAAATTTGAATATATTTTGCTCGGGTGTCAGATGCAAAAATTTATTTTTTTTATCCACACTTTTTACTGTCTGTTGGCATTGGCCTGATTCACTTTGAAATTGCATTTTTCCGATTTTTTCGTCTTTTCTTTTTTCACAAGCATAAATCTCAAATCGCGTCTGCGAGGCTGATAAAAGCGAAAGTGACTCGGCGAAGGTCCGGCGCGACTACGGTCGCACGAGAATGACTTTGAAATTTCTGGTGAAAATGTCGATGACGCTCGTGCGATCATACTTTAGCAGAAGTAAGAGGCAAAACTTTGGCGCGGCTCTATCTACGGTAAACAATGTTTGTATCTCGTTTTATTTATCTATTATCTAACGGATACAGCAAACAGCTTTGGATTACACACTGTCAACTAATCTTTAGATCCTATTACCTCAGACCCATCGCACACCCACTTTTAACACCCGTATCAACGCAGGTACACATATGCAAATACATGACATAAGTAATTGTTACGTCGAGTCCAAGTTAAGGGATGAAAAATCTTTTCAAAAAACATTTTATTGATCTAAACTCAAAGAAATTTTTTTATCAATCCATAGTCACTACAAAAAGCTCAGGACGGAATAGTAATTATGGGTTCGAGGAAGTAAAAAAAAAAAAAAAATCAAAGGAAAAGTTATCTGTCAAGATTAGAAATTTCCGAACACGTTTCTCATTGGCATAGGCGAGGTTGCGAACGCCTATTAATGTAATAGGGGTTGTCTTCGCCGCGAATAGGATCAGTTTGAAATATGGCCTGAAAGGGTGTGGTGTACTTTGAGTACGTTGTCCTATACGTACAAGACACCCCCTGCCAATCGAACCTCATCCGCAATGCATCAGTGTTGAGCGAACAGCCAGTCAGTGCTGTTCGTCCCTCGTGTTCGTAAATTTATGGATTTTGTTTTCGTCGCAATGTTGTTCGCAGTGGAATCGGGTGTCGCGATTTACCCTAAAGCGAGACGTAATTTCATATGGCTCGAACCATAATAAAATTCCTATAAGGATTTTATCAGATGATACGGCAACGTCGCGATTGTCTTTGTATCAGTGTGTTCAGAAAAAAGAGTGAGCATCGAACACTTCGTGGCGTATCGAATGGTGTTCAACGATGTTCGCTCTACTTGATCATGAGTAGACAAATAGCAATAGGATATTTATTGGAGTTGGTCGCTGGTGTTCTTCGTGTGAGCACGCACTCAAAAATGGTGAGATAAGATTGCGTGCTTATGGTTGTTCGTATGAAACGTGTTTTCGAACACTTGGAACACGAGAAAAAATTTTGGAAATCCAATTTGTTGTAACAATCTAGTTCTAACGTAAGGGTAGACACGAGAGGTGAAGTAGCGGGCGTTGAATTTGTAAGTCAATGGGATTTTAGGAACGCGTGAAAATTTGGTGTGGGGCCAAGCCTTAAGTATGAATTGAATTTTTTGAAATTCTCATCTTTCATCCTTCCAGGTACTGTCGCTAGGCGCTGACGTACTCCCGGAATACAAGCTGCAATCGCCGCAAATCCACAAATGGACCATTTTGCATTATTCGCCGTTCAAGGCCGTTTGGGATTGGATTATTTTATTGCTCGTGATGTACACCGCCATTTTTACGCCGTACGTCGCGGCCTTTCTACTCTCCGAGCCGGAATACAATATGAAGAAGAACAAAAGATATGGCGAGGATCCGATCATCATAATAGATCTCATTGGTGAGTTGGATGAAGGGAAGACGGGGCAAAAAATTTTACGATATGCAATAAAAATTTTCAGCGACGAGGTGGATGAATTTGATAAAAAAAAAAATGTGTTAAAAAGAAATGGCGGGAATTTTGAATTTTTTTTCTCAATGTTCATACATTTATTCTATTTGTCACAGTCGACGTCACATTCGTCGTGGACATTCTCATCAACTTTCGGACAACCTTTGTCAATGAAAATGACGAGGTCGTCTCACATCCTATGCAGATAGCCGTCCATTACCTCAAGGGGTGGTTCATCATCGACCTGGTGGCCGCCATACCTTTTGACCTTCTTCTAGTCGGCTCAGACACGGACGAGGTAGGAAATTTAATATACACGTTTGGATTATCTAATTTTTTTCGTTTTCACTATTCAAGAACAAGAGTTAAAGTTATTTGGTCGTTTCGATGGTCGTTTCATATATTTTTGTATCTTGAGCCTTTTGGAGTCTCTTTGTTTTTTTCTTTCTCCTTTTCTCTTCACTTTGGCTGGGTACTCTGCTCAGACACACGGCTACTTTGAGATTTATCAATTCCCATCGGGACGACCCGGTGAGCATAAAGATACGTCAATTCTAGATTAATCGATGTTTAGTTGGTAAGCCCAACATACAATTGTTTATCAATAGGTTTTGACATGCCGATACCTAAAAGATATTATTATATGTGTCCATAGATATATTATGTGTCTCTACTATATTGATCGGATTGGCGCTTTATTAATTTGTCAATTTAATTTTTCTCTCACTGTGTCTCTCTATACCTATATAATAATATCGTTTTTTGGTTACTCTCAGTCTCTGTCTTCCTTTCTCGTTACCCCCCTATTCATCCGCCTTAATCCTACTCCCTTACTAGTTCTCATTCCTTGTCTCTGGGGTCGATCGACATTTCATCAGCTCGCGATTTCGAAAGCCGATTGTACGGTTTCGTTTAAAGATAAAGAGAAATTAACGAAAGAAAAGGAAACGTGAGAAGTGAACGAAACGAATGAAATTACGATCGATCGATTTCGTTTTTATTTGCAATTACCGTGAGTATGAATCTTTTGAGTATTTTCTCCCCTTTGTCTTCATGGATGGTTGATGTGAGTTAAGATCGAAAATTCTAAAAGAAAAACAAGCAAGGAAAGTTATGGGAACGGAAGGAAACAACAAATTGACGATCGATCGATCGTCTCTTATTGCTGTGGATCAATTTTTTTTTCTATTTTCCTCTCTTGTTGCTGTGAAGGATAACGGCGAATCGCAACGCCATCTACATGGAACGTACACGGAACAGTATGATATCAAATATGGGCCTAATATTTTTGTTTTTCCTTTCGCTCTGTCCTTCTTTCTCTTTATCCATTGCTTGCTTTTTTTTAAATAACATTTCTTATCAGTTCTCGGTGTATCTTTGCTCGTACTGTTGTCGAAGTTTCTTTCTTTTTTGGATTTTCCTTTTTACCCTTCAATTTCTTGCGTCGTCATGCCCCCTCCCCCTGACCCTTGAATTGGAAATATAAAAAAATTTAATT